CGCCGCCGCCGCCACCGGCCCTTACCAGCACGTGCCCGCCGGCTACCTGGACGTCGTCTCCACCTTCGGCTCGGCGGCGGCGGCAGCGGCGGGGGGGGGGCCGCGCCCCGAAATGTCTCCTTCTCCCAGGGCTACGCCGCCGCCGCCGCCGCCGCCACCGGCCCTTACCAGCACGTGCCCGCCGGCTACCTGGACGTCGTCTCCACCTTCGGCTCGGCGGCGGCGGCAGCGGCGGCGGGGGAGCCGCGCCACGAAACCTACATCTCCATGGAGGGCTACCAGTCCTGGACGCTGGCCAACGGCTGGAACGGGCAGGTGTACTGCGCCAAGGACCAGGCCCAGGGCTCCCACTTCTGGAAGTCCTCCTTCCCAGGTAGGGCAGAGCGATGCTGACGGAGGGGGGGAGACGCGGGTAGAGAAGAGGGGAGGGGGGGACCTTCCTTCAACTGCCTTTGACTTCAACAAACACACCCCCCCCAGAAAGACCCGGAGAGCGGCCTCCTCTCCCCGCGCGCACGGAGTCCCTCGCCCCGCCCCTACCCAGCTCCGCGCATGCTGACTCTGGAGGGATCCCCCTCGGTTCAGTGGGAGGCTTACTCTCGGGGGCCGGATCCTCCAACCCTGGCGGACCCTTCTTTCCTCGGCCTGGCCCTGCTGCGGCCCTTTCTTCGCAGCCCTTCCTAAACCCGCGCTTAGTTAGGCCCGCAAGCCTGAAACGGTTCATTCTGTTGAGTCCAGCGAGACCGCCCTCGCAGCAAGCAGACCCTGGCTTTTAGTTGTACACAGGCCCCGTAGATTTTGTGTGCCTAGTATGTGTTGGGGGCGGGAGTCCTTCGTAGTTCTTTCTCTCCCCCCAACACACACTATTAAGCTTCCCCCCCCAAATTCGAGGGGGCCCTCGGTCCGAATCCTCCCCACCACAACCGCCAGCCCTGTCCGTTCCACTGGGACTGGCTCCCCCTCGAAAGCGCGGCCCTCCTCGCCCTGTTTGCGACGTCCCCTGGAACCCGGAACCATTTCTTTCTCAGCCGAAGTTCATTCGGAAGCCCTTCCTATTGGGGTATTCTTTAATTTTAAAGTAAATCAGCAGAGTAATCAGCAGAGTATTAAAGAGGCAGAGTCCATAGTGTGTTTAAATATAAAAACATACTACAACCTAACGCAGTAAATACCGAAGAAGTGTTTTAACTTGTAACACCCAACACTTCCCCACTCCCCGAAAGTCTCCGTGGCCTCGCAGCTTCCCTCGCCAAGAAGGTCGGGGGAGGCGGAAACTTCAGAGGTCATTTCACCTTCTCGGGCCTGTTTCGGTGCGGGGCTTTGGGGAAGGGAGACAGGCCGGTGACGATTTGCTGCTGGAACCCTGCCCTGGAGGACTCCGGCCGCGGCTACCCTCCGTCCCCTTTCCCAAAACCACAGGCCAGCCGTCGTAGCCAGTCTCCCTGGAAAAGGCTGATCCCTATTTTTATTTCTGCTGGGGCAGTGAATTGATTTCTCTCCCCCTTTTCCTGTCATGCGCGGAGCTGCGGAGGGGCCTAAGCTTTCGGTCTTCTCTCCCCCTCCGGAGCTGCGGAGGGGCCTAAGCTTTCGGGCTTGCCGGCCTTCCGAAACGAGGCCCGGGTTTTGGCGTCTTGCTTCTCTTGCTAACTCTCTCCCGGGTGCCGCCTCCTTCTTCCTCCGCAGGGGACGTGGCGCTCAACCAGCCGGACATGTGCGTGTACCGGCGAGGGCGGAAGAAGCGGGTGCCCTACACCAAGCTGCAGCTGAAGGAGCTGGAGAGCGAGTACGCCGTCAACAAGTTCATCAACAAGGACAAGCGGCGCCGCATCTCGGCGGCCACCAACCTCTCGGAGAGGCAGGTGACCATCTGGTTCCAGAACCGGCGCGTCAAGGACAAGAAGATCGTCTCCAAGCTGAAGGACACCGTCTCCTGATCCGCTGGGTGGGGAACGCTCCCCGCGATCCAAAGACTTTCCGGGAGAGGGAAAAGACAGAAAGAAACTTGAAATATATTTAATATCCCACCCCCACTCACCCCACCCCTCTCAGGCAGGGTGGTGATATTTTGTGAAACTTTTTTTTTTTAAGGCAAGATTCGCCATCTGGTCTCGGATTCGTGGAATGCTGCAGGTCTCGATTGCCTTGATATATTTTTTTTTCTTTCGTTGTATTTGGGTAGGTTCGGTGCACGTCACCTGTGCGTGTTTGTGCGTGTGTTTGTGTGCGTGCGTGCGTGTGTGTCTTCCAGGCCCTATGGGCTGCGGAGCAGTCATGAACTTCTTATAAAAGAACTGTACAACTTGTCTGAGACTACCCAGGTGCTCAAAGCAGGTTCCCAGACCCCCCACCCCACCACTACCACCCCGTGCCTTATTCGCCACCTCCCGAATGTATCAATGGATCCGAAGACGGTGACGTCATTGCCAAGCCAGAAGGCCCGGGAGTGGCGACGGACCTCTTGGACTGCGCTGCCTAAATCGCCTCGCTCGGAATGGATCCCACTAGGCCTTCTCGGTTCCTGCCCCCTTGGGTACCGACGCCGAGGCAGGCGGCCCACTCCGGTTTTAAACGCGCTCACTTGAAGGGGGGGGGGGAAGCTTTGCTGAAACCGGCATGGTTGACTCCCGACTCGCTCCCGTCGGCGATGCGTTTGACCATCGGAGTGGTTCCCCCGCCGCGTTACCCTAACCGCGCCCCCCCCCTATCAAGAGGAATATTTCGGACCGGCATGGGCAGCAGGCTCTCCAGTGTCCTCCATGGCATAAATCGGTTGTTTTCTTATGTAGAGTTGGAAGAAATCTTCTTCTCTGTCGGGACGAAGGGCCCCGGCTCTGGCCGAAATGAGCGCCGCCGCGCCCGGATTCCTCGGCAGGCCGGCCCCACGGGGTTCAGTGCGGTTTGCCCCCGAGTCAAAACGGAGCTCCGCTAAGCGGCCGCCTCCCTCGTTCCCGTGGAAGTCGCCGGTGCGTAAAAAGGCTCCCTCTTCGGCCAGTTCTGCCCGCGGGTTCCGCTTCCCGCTCCGTCCTCCGGCGGGGAGCCAGGCGCCTCCTCTCGCCTCTCGCCGCCGCCGGACGAAGCCCCGGGAGCCGGCCCCGCGCGCTCGAAGCAGCCCCGCTCGGGCAAGGGGCCGCCGTGGCCGGGCGCTCCAGCCGCTAAAGCCGACCATGCCTCTGCTGTTTCGTTGTATAAAGGTGTGTATAAATCGATGTGTATTTTTATATAAATATCGGGCGCCCTTTCTCTTCTTCCAACACTTCTCCTCCTCCTCCTCCTCCTTCTTGGTCCAAGACGGACTCTGTTCGCCTTCCCCAGCCTTGGAAAAGCTCTGCTGCAGAACGCGCAAGTTGTGGATGGCTTTTTTTTTTGAAACCAGGAAATGAAACGGGTGTCAATGAAAGAAGCAATAAATGACGAAAGAAAGAAAAGAAAAGCCTTCTGGTTCACGAGCCGACAGAGTTTTTTGGTATTTTATTTCCTCGATCATTTCGTTGGGCACAAAGCTCGGAAGGGGACAATCGAGGCGGCCTGGGAAATCGCAACCCAAGATCTCTTGGGGGGCTGGGGGTGGGTGAGAGTGGCCTTAACCTGGAACGCCAGAATTAGCACCCAGGACTCTGGTAGTTCCCTTAAAGACCGACACATTTATTGTGGCATTAACTTCCCAAGGCTCGAGCTCGGCTGCAAAACAACGGGGGGTGGGGGGCCCGATGAATCATCTGCTCCTCACCTCGAGAGGGGGACGCGGGCGCTCTAACGCCAGCCCTTTTCTTCGCTCGCCGGCTCGCTCAAGCCGCTGTGCTAACCAGAGAGGGATCAGTGCAGGCCGAATGCGTGTGTGTGTCTGCGTGGGGATGCATGCTGGAATACACGTGCCTTACCATTGCGCTATTGACCCCTCGCCTGCCAGATGCCAATACTGGTGAGCAGCCCAGGACACGATCCAGGGTTTGTTTCTTTGTTTAAAGGGAGACAATCCTAAGAACACTTTCCCGGGAGTAGACCTCACTGAATAGTCGAATGCAGAGTAAACCTGCTTGAGGATTGCTCTCCAAATTCAGCAGAAGAAATCTGAACACGGATTTAGGGGGTTGGATTAGATGACCCTGGAGGTCATTACGCAGCGTTTACCGAAAGCAGTGAGACCTACTTCCCAGCAGACATGACCAGGACTGCCCCTTTGCAGTCTTCCTTGGGTCTTATGCCCTACTGAATTTAAGAAAAAGGAAAGAAAAAAAATACCTTATTTCCGTGTCTTGAGTGCATGGGGGGGTCCCAGGCCATTAAAAGCGATGAAAGGTGCCCAGCTAGGTCTGGATAATTGCGCCCCCCCCCCTTTTAATTTTTTATACAAAATAACGTCCCCTCCCCCCTTCCCCCTCCCCCCTTCAAGCTCTTGTTTTAATCTTCTCTTCCACTTTCATCTCTGCTTGGCAAGAGCCTCGACCTCTCAAGCTGTTAACGATTTTGCCCCATATTACTTCTAAACAGCCCCGGATAAAACGATCCCTTTTTAAATGCCAAAGGGTGGGAGAAAACAGCCAAATTTTTTGGTAGCCATCTGGGATTTTTTTTAAGGCGGCTTTTGTCCTCAGGGAGATGTGTGTGTGTGTGTGTGTGTGTGTGTGAGTGTTAAAGTATTTAAAAAGTTAAGTGTGTCCAAACATGAGAAACGTGCCTCCCCTCCAAGGCAGGTACATTGTGCGATCTGTCCCAATGCAAAAGCGGTCTAGTTCGCCTTCATGGATATGTTGGAATGCAGCTGTCTGAGATTAGATACATAAAAGCACTGGGAAGGCGAAGCATTAACATTTCAAGGGCCCTGTTGGTGAATTTCAGTCCACTGCGGGTTTTCAAGTGGGTGTGGAAGTATTGGGGCCTTTGAGAACCCCCCCCCTTGCATTTTAACTTTCTTCTTCTGTTGAAGGGGGGGGAGCTTCCTTCCATTGGCCTTCCGAATGAGCGCTGCCATTTCTGTAGGGGTACCCAGGTTAGCGTTTCTTTTCCAAACCCTTTCCTGGAATTCTCTTCCTTTCCCCTGGATATTCCATCCCCTCTTTCAATCAGAAGGACTTCATTTTAAAGTAAAAACACTTACATCTTCTTGCAGTGAAAAATTGGGTTACGGGGTTCCCCTCCATGGATTAAAAAGAGGGAGAGAGCGATGACCGCAGCACTGCGAGGAGGGAAACAGATCCCTGTGGTACCTGACATACATATAAAACCCCGCCGTCCTTTTGGGGAATCTCCCCACCACCACCAAGTCCCATGAATTTTTCAGAAGAAAGATCTATCAATAGAAAAAAGGTTTGCTCAATGATGATGCCAGTTATAACAATATTGCATATTATATATGACCCCTATTAGTACACACGACCACTTATTGGGATGTCGATTAACGTTATCTTATTAAAGCTCCCTGCAGCCAAACTCAGTCTAAGATCAGTTGACACGTGTGGAAACATAAGTTAGTGAACACATCTGGGTTTTGAAAGATTTACTTCTGTTGAATGCAGGCCATATGAAGACGTCTGGTGGCGGAGGAGCAGTAATAGCGGTAGTAAATCATGCTAGTGGTAGCAAGTGATAACACCAGCCGCTCTTTCCACGCGCCTCTGCCTTTCTTACGTTCAGATCAGACCTCCCAGCCTGGTTACAATTCACACCCAGAACAAAACAACCAACCCAACTGGTATGCCTACACCGCCTTGCACTCGTTTTTTAAAAAGAGTCCAGAGATTTTGATCAAGCTATATTCTCACATCCAGTCACTATTAACTGGAGGCGAATTCTACTTTGTGAGCTACTTGCATTAAAGTTGTGTGTGAGCGAGCGATTTGGCTACTGCATAAATTAGTTTGCACTAGAGCCATCCTTCCTGAGAGAAGACAAAAATGTGTGAGCTGGAGGCTAAAAAACTGTGAGCTAGCTCACCCTAAATCAGTTTAGAGGGAACACTGACCCAGTGAAATTCAAGCTGCTTCTCCACCTTCTGGATAATACATTTTGAATGCACTTTATGATTGCTGGCAACTGGGATTTATCCCTGTGAGAAAGTGCACTGAAGCTGCATTAGAGTCCGGTGGCAGCTTTAAGACCAACAAAAGTTTATTCAAGGTGTGAGCTTCCCCGTGCGCGTTCTAATTAGTAGTAAAGTCCCATCCCCCCCCCCCGTTGTTCACACCGAGAGGGGGCTTGCGGGAGACCTCCGCTGCATAAACAGAAGGAACGCTGGGAAGAGGACTTCGACCTGACTGCTGAATCGACAGGGCTGAAGGCGCTCCCCACCCTCTTTTCCGTGGCCCTTAAAGCTGACGAAGGTACAGAAAACTACGGGGGGGTGGGGTGGAGAAGAAGTTATTTTAGGAATTGTACTCGGTTCAGCCCCATAGAATCCCATGCGTAAGAAAGCAAGGCATCCCTGGGAGCAGAGAGAGACCGCAGATACAAAACTCCATCCCCACCCCACGGACTTTATCTGCAATCTACGATAGTTGCAATAGCAAGTCCCGTGACTTCCTTAGCTCTACTTTAAAATCAAACGGGGACTAGGCCGAGGCAACTCGGAGCGGTTCCAAGAGATAAGTACGGAGGCCCAAATCCGCTACCTTTCCTTTGTTATTATTGGCCAAGCTGACGCTAACCAGGCTGGCTTGTACTCAACTTGGAACACCGTGCGCTGTGTTAACGGTCGCCCTTCGGCGCGTACCCCTAACAACTTCTGGGAAAAGGGGATGGTGGTTTGCTTGTAATCAACAGTGGCTGCTAATACCCTTGGACACTAGCGACACAAAAGAGGGCTGTCGCTAAGTAGGATTCTGGGCCCGGGCAAGAGGCGGGCTGGGCAATATGTGGTACAATACTGCACAAAGAGGGCTGTCGCTAAGTAGGACGGGCTGGGCAATATGTGGTACAATACTGCCATCTGCTGTACAAACTGTGGCATAGCGCTTGGA